CGTAATCCTTCAGTCAAAACCCGCAGTCCTTTAGCTCCGACACACAAATGTTAGTCATATCGCTATAGGCGAGTCAGATCAAAAAGTATCGAAATATGCTGAGATCAACAAATGTTTAAATAATTATTTTCTACAAATTTTGATGCTGCAAAGCTCAGTTAAGAAATGAGAATGCGTGATAGTCGCACGCCGAACCTCACGTTGATTGGAAAAGGTCTCAACGATCTACCCGTATCTTCAAACTTGTTGAAACATTTCGTAAAGCTTCCGTAAAACACGTGATACTCGCGTGAATAAAAATCTCAGGTATTGCAAAAACAGAACATTGTTTTGTATTCACAAATGAACCCTGGTCATGAGAGGTAAATGCATAAACATGTTGAGGATGGTGAACGTCGTTCACAATAGTACACATCTGTTATTATTATTATTATTATTATTATTATTATTATTATTATTATATTTGACATAACTATCAAGGTAGAGGATCAAAAATTACGAGTGTTGTCTGAAGCTTGATGGAAAACGGTGTGTTAGATGAAGTGTGTTTTGTGAACAGTGTTTATTATCCTCGTACTGTAAATGATATGCAAAGTTTACCTTAAGTGTCGATACGGAACAGTAAGTCTTTACATTTTGTCGTATGAAGGGCTTGGAAATGCTTGTGTCCTACTGGAGATTTTTACTCACACAGGAGTATCGTATGTTATAGGGAAATACTGAAACTGTACAAGATGTTTCCAATAGTTTGACGATTCGGGAACATCGACTAAACCTTCTCCGGTTAACATGTGGTACAGTGTGCGACTACCACACTTTCTCAGCTCTTAACCAAGCTTTGCAACATTAAAATTTGTAGAAAGTATATTTTTCCCAACAATATTTAACTTCAGAATATTTCGAATTTTTTTGATCTGATTCACATACAGCGGCAGGATTAAAGTTTGTGCGTCGAGGCTGAAGGATTACGGGTCGTGGCCAAAGTATTGGCCGTTTTGGTTGAAGGAATGTGGGGTCGAGGATAAACGACTGCCGGTTTTGGCAAAAGTTTGATGAGAAAAGGTGTATTGTCTTATTCTATCCTCTGGCAAACCGGCCCCGCTCACTGATCATGAGCACCAGGGGACTGTGTGTTTTCAATATGTGTCCAAGCGTTCCGTCCGCAAGTCAGTTTCACGACCTCGGTAGTGACTGATTAGGTCACGGTTAGTAGATAATTCGAGAGAATGAAACATCTGTGCACAATTCAATTAAACTGAAGCGTATGAACGTATTCGTGGTTAAAATTCCGGATTTTGGATCTTCCTCACACTTTTATCTGTATCACACGACTGATATGGGCTTAGAAAAAGCCCTCGGAACCGGGCCATGAGTCTGAAGACATGTCTACCCAATGTTACATCTGCAACAGGAATTGGGCAATTGTGCACATAGTGTGTGCCTTCCAAATAAACTCACCATCTTCCAGTGCATGTGCTATTTGCCGTAAACTAAGGTTAATTGTTATTTAAATTTTATTCATTTGATTTTTTTCATTTATTTTATTTTTTTAAATTGTATTTTGTTCCTTTCAATCTGTAAATTTAGTTCTCTAAACAATGTAGAAAACGGTGTACTTGAAGAAATTTCTTTCCGGTAGGTGATCATAGTACTGATATCTTATTGGCTGATTACATATCAGGTTGTAACCATGACCATGAGGCGGGCAAGTAGAGCAAGCGGATGTGTTAAGGCTAGCGATAGAGTCGTGCACGGGGGTGAGAGGATAAAAATCAACTGAAAAGCCGCAGCAAGGTGAGCTGATTAAAATGTTGATGAAAGTTATGAACTAAGACGAGAGAACGGGATGAAGTTACATAGGATGCATTGTAGCATGTGAAGTCATCAGGAAGAGGTGGGGGTGGGAGGGAGGGAAGGAAGGAAGGAAGGAAGGAAGGAAGGAAGGAAGGAAAGAAGGAAGGAAGGAAGGAAGGAAGGAAGGAAGGAAGGGAAGAAGGAAAGAAGGAAGGAAGACGAAATATTTCGGGAAAGTGCA